TGTCTGAACTTTGCATGTTCTCTCTATGTATGGGTGGAGTTTGCGTGTTCTCACTGTGTCTGTAGTTTGCATGTTCTCCCAGTGTCTGTATGAGTTTCCTCTGTGTGTGTTACTTTCTCGGACTATTTTCCGCTCGTCTTCTACACCAGTTCTATTATGTGTGTTATTTTATAATTGTGTTTTTTCAAATTAATTTTTTCCGGTACTTTCATTGGTCTTTTCTTTTTACTCTGCATTCTTCTCATCTTCTCCACGCGCCACTTCCACCCGTGTGTTCCCCGACGGAAAAAAAAAAAGGAAAAAAAGTCCGCGCCCTCCGCCAATCAGAGCGCGCTGCGGCGGGATGCCATCGGTCTCTCCCCTCCGATTGGCTGCGGGTCGGAGGATGCCATTCCAGCTGTTTCGCTCCCCCCCCCGCCCCCCTCCCTCCACACTCCCCCGACCCCCCACGTCCCACCTCCTCCTCGCCCCCCCCTCCTCCTCCTCCTCCCTCTCCGCTGTTAAACTTCCACCGACAGCCGCCCCGGCCAATCGCGCGCCCCCGTACGCACTCAGGACGCGCTCCGATTGGCCCTCGACGCGCTCGGGGGGCGTCCAGCGAGAAAGTTGGTATCTCCTCCGCTCCGTCCAGCTGTGAATAAGAGCTTTTTATACTGATGGACGCGGAGGAGCGCTCTCTCAGTCTGGAGAAGACGAGAGCGGGCGAGCAGAGAGCGAGATAGGCGGCAACGCGAGAAGGAGGCGGCGGTGCCATTTGGTTACGAAGACACGAGAAGAACAACCCGCCGCTTTTGACGCCTGTTACCGCGCGTTACCGCTTGGGATGTGCGGCAGCGGCAGCATCTTTCCAGGACACACGGGAGTGGGATATGCCCTACATGCGTGGATGCAATTAAAAGTAACGGGATCGTAATTTTCAACGAAGGAGGAAAACGCGTCAAAGTGCAACCCTCGCTTCTTCTTCTTCTTTTTTCTTTTTTGGCACACTTGGTTGTTTTGCTTTTTACGCGCGCGCAAAACCAAAGAAAGGATACCATAAGTTTACGTTTGGTGGTTTTTCCGTGGTTGAAACGGGGATGAGGAGTTGTTGAAGCCCGGGTTAGAGGCTTCGGGACGCTGGGAACTCCTCCGGAAAGGAACGCGAGCCAGACGCACGGAGAGGGACCAAGAAGTACCCAAACGCTCTCTCCCCGTCTCCCGGCTACTCCTCCCCCGGCTTCATCTCTCCATCAACGCAGGCTCTTCTCATCGCTTCGGAGACTGTACTGAATTTTTTATTTTTATTTTTTTCGTGTTGGTTTGTCGGAGCAACATTATAAAGCGAGCATGCGATGACTGAGCGCGCACTGGGCACATCCAACGAGTCCATACCAGGTAAAGCGACGCGTTTGAATGAAGTACTCCCTGTCACTGTTCACTTTTCAAAACCACATCTCATTAAAAAGCTTAGACGTAATAATTAATAAAACTTAACGTATGGCGTAAACCGTTGGCTATTTTACGCAAATTTTTGGAATGCTCCGATAATTCGCATTCTTTAGGACCAGGCTGTGTTGCAAATATGAGTCATTATATCCTTCTGTTTTGACAATTTGGCTTTCTAAATTGACTTGTTTTCAAATAAGTGCAACAATATGATAAAAATTGTTGTAAAATGTTTCCAAATCAATATGTTTACGTCAAATTTGGCGTATAAATTAGAACATATCACAGTATCGTAGACGTTTTGCATAGCGTCAAAACCACCACTCTATAATTTCTTCATTTTTTTTATTTTTTTAACGTTGCATTCTGAGTGCCAATTTTGCTTGCATCGTAAAGACATATTTTTTTTGTGTAACCTATATTTTTTTGGAAATAATCTAGGTCTTAATTGCACCCCAAATCTCCAAATAAGATGTAATTTCGGAAACAAATTGCAAATGAAATGAAATAAAATCGGACAGTTTTCGTGCTTTGTTGCAACCGGGAAAAAAGCAGGTATCATTTAAGCATTCTCATCAAGATTAAGATGGTGGGTTGGATGATTTGGGATAATTGAGATGAAATTTGGGACCAATATTGCAATCTGTGTCTTTTTATGATGAGGGTTTGAATCCACAAGGCACATTAGGAACGCATTTTGGGGAAAGACTTCAATTTGAAGTGCCAAATTAATACAAGAATCCCATGCATAAACGTCTAAACTGCAGGGAAAGCAGCTTTTACAGGTAGAATAAGACGCAGGGAGGGCATCTGACTCACGGGGACGTTTCAGAACCTGTTTGTAGAGGTCTAAACTATACAGGGTGACCAGCTTTTTGGCACAAATTGACCTTATGGAGACACCAGGGAGGGCATCTGGCACACAGGGACATTTCAGAACCTGATTGTGGAGGTCCGAACTACGGGATTACCAGCTTGTAGGCAGAATTTGATCACGTGGAGACGCAGGGAGGGCATCTGACACACGGGGACGTTTCAGAACCTGTTTGTAGAGGTCTAAACTATACAGGATGACCAGCTTTTCGGCACAAATTGACCTTATGGAGACACCAGGGAGGGCATCTGGCACACTTGGACATTTCAGAACCTGTTTGTAGACATCTGAACTACAGAATGACCAGCTTTTAGGCAAACTTTGATCACGTGGAGACACAGGGAGGGCATCTGACACACACAGGGACATTTCAAAACACGATCGCAGGGGTCTAAACAAAAACAACAACAAAAAAAGCAGCTTTTAGGCAAAATCAAACTCCACTGAGACACAGGGACATTTCAAAATGTGATCATAGAGGTCTGAACTACAGGTATAGCAGGTTTTAGACAGATTAAGACCCCATGGAGACATAGGGAGGGCATCTGAATTAAACCTGATGGCGACAAAGCAAAATATTCATTGGACAATATGTGTTACGAAGTCTATTCAAATTACTATTGTGATTTGATCGCAATTAATCTTTCAGCCAGCTCTTGTACAGACATCATTAGGATCAATACTGATGTAATTACGTAACAATTCATGTCACTCCAGCTTACCGGGTCTGTATCTACTGTTTAAAAGGTGCACTGTGTTGCTTTTCTCTCTCGTCTCCATGGAAACGGTATTACTTTAATTGTTGGAATGGTATTAAAGAGGGGATATTATGATTTTTTGCTTTGCTTTCTACCATCTTCCCTGCATGTTTAGAGTTCTTCTCTCAAACAGAAAACATTCTGTTCCACCTTGTGATGTCATGTGGTGATACAGGAAGTGCTCCACTCTGTTTTTAAACTCCGTACACCTTCACTAGAATCATTTAGATCATTTCAGCCCTGGAGTTGCCAATCTCTACTGAACTAAAAATAAAAGGAGCTGTTAACTTAAACTGCCGCTTCGTGACATCACAAGGTGGAACAGAGCATTTTGGGCTTTGGAGATGTAGATGAACTAATAATAAATGATAACTCAAAGATGTGTGAATGAAACAAAACACAACTCCAGGTCTGTTTTTGAAGAGGTAATGGCATTATAACATGGTTTAAAGCTCAGAAGAGTCAGTCAAGTTTGCTAATTGCGTCCATTAACATTATGGTTTAGATTGCGATTATCCTTGAAATCTGTATATGTATGGACATATCTAACGTGCTGTATGTCACATTCCAAATATGAAGTGAGCATGGCTGCGGAGTGGTTCCTTCAAGCTCTGGTTGAATTTCATTTTCTGTTGAAAAATCTTTGCACCTCTCTTTATAACTGCTGCTTTTGGGCTTGTCATTTTGGTCTTATAATGTTTGTATTAACCCGCTCTACATGTAGCCAGGCTGGTGCCACCTAGTGCCTCCTCTCAATTTCATTTCTCTCCAGCGACTAGGTCAGGAATCGGAATACACTAGACGGATTTCAAGAACCCCAGAATTTGTAGACCGTGCACGAGCCAATCAGCAAAGAACCAGACATTCTGTGTTGGCAATGATTCCCGAGATCGAGGATTTAAAGCTGGAACAAAGAGAATGTTTGGCGACTTTTATCAAGAGGAAAGACGATATTGCCCTTTTTTCTACGGGATTTAGGAAAATCTTAATAGACCAGTTAGCTCCGTTAGCGGTGCATTACATATGTCATGACCAAATAGCAGCGATTGGTTAAATAAAAAGTACCTGCCTTCCGTCGAGTGAACGAATCCTAATCAGACGGTTTCCACGAAGTGAAACCGGCTAATGAATCAGGCTACTCTACATGATCCTGGGCTTGTATTTCAGTATTTTGTCCCTAAATTAAGATGTGAACATTAAAAACAGACCAATCCAGTGTTTGTTTTTGTTGCTAAGCGGCGGCCCCCAGCCAAACTAACGGGGCAGTTGGGCTTGTAATTTCAACCACCTCGCTCCTTATTGGCTCGTTGGTTTCCACATATTTCCAAATATGTTACTTATAACTGATATAACTGCTAGCCTCGCTGAACTTCATTTGGGTGCAACAGAACACTATGGGTGCCGTCACACTTCATCAGTTCACTTCTACTTTTTATACAGTCTATGAGCCTTTACCTGACCAGACAGAACCACACATTTTCACAAAACTTTACAAAGATGAGTGAATATGAAGCTGAGTTCTTGTCTCCCTGATTTCAGAGGCTGTGACTGACAGGTGGATTAACCAATCAGAGAGACGCATGTTCTGTTTGCGTCAAAAACAAACATCCTTACACATAAAAAGAGAGAAAAATCAACATAAATACCTGAGAAACAGTGTGGATTTTTACAGAATTAACACCAAACTCTGACTTATTTGAGGTAAAAGAAGTTACATATTGTGTTCCGAATGTAACAAGTGAGATGTTTCTTGAGATGTTTTCCACATTTGAGGTACACGTGATACAAATTAGCAGCCGTGGTTAGATTATCAAAAGTTTTTCATGCTCTATAGTCAGATTCTAGTCCCTTCTTGATGTGAACAGAATGTAAAAGGGACTGGCTGCTCAGGCGATATGAACCCTTCCTTTACGTGTTTTTGTTCCACTTGCAGGAGGTGAATGATGTCTGAAGATGGCGATGGAGACCTCTGCGGACTCCCCGAGCCCAGGGACAGTGAGAGCCGCTCCTCCCTCCCCCCCAGGACCTTCATCCGGCTCAACGACCTGTCCGGAGCCGGGGTAGGGTCCGGAGGCGGAGGCGACTGGCCCGGGGGCAGCGGTTTGTCCGGAGGCGGAGGCGACTGGCCCGGGGGCAGCGGTTTGTCCGGAGGCGTGGGCGACTGGCCCGGTGGCGGCGGTTTGTCCGGAGGCGGGGGCGCGGAGGTGATGGTGGAGCCTCCCCCTCCCTCCCCGGCGCTGGATGGGATCTCTACGGCGGGCGACGAGGGCTCTGGCAGCGGAGGGGAGACCTTGCCCTACCCCACCCTGGCACCCGTGGTATTCTTCTACCTGAAACAGAACACACGCCCAAGGAGCTGGTGTCTCAAGATGGTCTGCAATCCATATCCTTTTGTTTTTACTAATTAAAATCATTAGGAAAAGCAACCAGAAGGCTTCGAAAGGTAAGGCGGTTTACTTGTTTTTCTGCGGCTTCCAGTGACTTCCAGGATTGCAAAAACTGAAATCTAGCCAAGTTAAGGTTTTATCATGATTTGAGTAAATTTCTCTTGACAAGTAAAATAATCTACCAATGGAACAAGACTTTTTGTACTTAAAATATGAAAATACACCTTGCTACACTCAAGATAAGAAAGACAACAACTCTTTCCACTTAAAATGAGAAACAAAATCGAACATTGCTTGACTTCAGAAAGATCCACGTATTCCGTTGATAGATCATTTTACTTGTCAAGTTAACGTAAAATGCTCTTAATTGAAGTCATTTGAACTTACCCAGATATTGCTTTTTGCAGTGAGTGAGTTTTGGCAAGAATTATGGTTTTGTTTTGCGGTAAATATTTGGATTACATCACTTTTTGGCCAGTAGTGGAAGTGCTAGTTTTTCTTTATTTGTCAGGGATCATGGTCAAATGCATTAATCTCACAAAAAAAATGATCCGGACCAGATTTAGCCACTAGTTGCTTCTTCTACTTAAAAATTAAAAATGACTATGTGTATGTTTTTGCAGTGAATATTAAGTACGAACTGACTCAAGATTTTATTATATATATATTTTTTTATCAAATTTCTACTGTCTGTCTGGAGGCTGATTGCACTGTCTGATGGTTTGAAAAGAAAAAGTTGCAGATCTTTTCACTATTGTACATCTGGTAGTTTGTTTGGGTTGTTTGTAATTACGCCCTTTTACCACTAGGGGAAGTCAAGAGTAGTATGTACATTTATTGCTTTGTGGTTTTGGCATCGTTATTTACTTGCGGTCATCATTTTGTCAGTAATATTATAATTAAACGTGCACTATGTAACGTTCAGATTTCGGATTCTGTGGTCCGCAATCTGCAAGTCTTTGAATGTTCCACGGTATGGCATTAAACTTATCTAGCTTTCGTTTGCTCTTTTACAGGCATTTTTATGGCTCTATATGGAACTAGTGATGCACCGATACCGATATTAGTATCAAATAGCGGTACCGATCCAGGATAATAAGCTGAATCAGATATCGGTTCAGATGCTCTTTGTGTCAGAGCTTTAATTGTTTGTAATACAACTATTTATTGGCTGATTTTGGCCGAGAGTATTTCATAATTCTCATAAAACATAAAAATTTTCAACATTTAGATACTACAAAATTGGTCAAATTTTGTAGTAAGTTAAGTTAAGTTGTGTTTTGCGAAGAAGTAAATGGTAATTAGAGTACTCACTGAAGTAAATAATAAGCGATCAGGGGCTTTTCGGAGATCCCAAGTGGGCAAATGACTTACTGGATGAAAAAAGGAGATCCGAGGCACTCCAATATGCTTTGTTATGATTTTTATTTCATGTCAAAATGAGTTGTGAGTTAAGTTGTGTTTTGATGGAAATAAAATGGCCTTTTCTAGTATCAGTTAATATTAGGGGTGTAACAATATCCAAGTTTCATGATACAATATCATCACAGTATGAACCTTACTGTTCGATATTTATTGCGATATCGTGGGAAAGCTCACTATATGATGGGGAGGCTCACGATTAGGGATGTAACAATATCCAAATCCCTCGGTATGATATTTTCACGATATACATCTCACGGTACGGCTTTTTCCTCTTAAAATGCCTTGACATGACTTAACGAACTCAAAGAACAAAGACTTTAAAGTGCTTAGAGTTGTTATTTCTTCATGTAGTCTGCACTGAAATGGAGCAAAGGATCATGGTCTATGTAGTTCCTTCTGTCTATTGCTGCACCATAACCCTTAATTTAAGCAAAGAGACTCGTAATTCGATTTATCGTGTTGGTCCACGATATTATTGTGAAAACTTGGACTATACAATATCACAATATTTTGGTTATTGTTACATCCATAGTTAATATCGGGCTAAAAGTCTAAATATCAGTATCAGAAATGAAAAAGCTGGATTGCAACAAAAAACACGCAAACATGAACAGATCTGACCTGTATCGTAGTCTGGTGGCGTCCCCGGATCATGTCCACGTAGCCAGATTTAGAGTTTTAATGCCATACTGTGGAACATTCCAGGCGAAGCTCTGACATCTTAATGCAAAGCACAAACAAAGGTTACATACTATAGAGCGCCTGTAAGTATTAAAGTAGCCACACAATCCATATTCCTAATTACCATATAGAATGGTTTGGCGTAGAAACCCTGAGTTGTTAACTGAAAGGCAATTTTGTAGCATTGTAGCGTCTACTAACATACAGAGTAATTGATTTTTGTAATGCGCGGTATTAATTTCTGCTACTGAATGTATTTATGAGTTGCAATCTATTATAGTGAGTACTGGTAATTGCTTTGGTGGTTTGTGTTTGCTAATTTGCTTGTGACATTTTTTTTTTTTTTCTTTTTCCTGGGTGTTCCAAAACTACTGCTAGCTGAACAACACACACTTAGAAATCTAGAGCTAATTATAGTTCGGAACCGTTGTCTTTAATTTGCGTTTTTTTTTGCAAGGTAAATGGCACTACACAAGGGTTTTCAAAGCTGCAGTATCGCTTTCTACCACTAGATGCAGTCACGAGTCAGAACAGTTTAAAACCTTGAATCGATCATGTCTTTTATGGAGTATTTTGGTTTGATTTAAGCTTTGTCTTTTTATAATATATCAGATTTTGTTTTCAGTGCTGCAATATGACTTTCCACCACTAGATGTAGTCATGAGTCAGAACGTTAAAACCTTAATTTAATCATGTTTTGTAGTATTTTGGCTTATTTTACTCATTGTACGTTACATTAGGCTGTCGACTTTTCCGATCCAAATTTTGATTTCAACGCTGCAATATCACTTTCTACCACTAGATGTAGTTGTGAGTCAAAAACCAAATTGGAAATAAATTCTTGGTCTGTTCAAGATTCATGATTTTAAACATTTTTTGTGTTGACAAATTAAAAATTTTGGCATGTGTGCAATTTTCAAACTATTTTTAGCCATTTAATTTCTTACAGTACTTACCAAATTGTGAAACGTTTGGTCATTAAATGAAACAACAATTTTATTAATTTATTTATTTGTTTATCTATTTATTACACTATTATTATTATTTTTTTTAGTCTTTTTATTTATTTTTTTTACTATTCTTTTTTTTTTTTTTCAATGCTGCAATATTTCTTTCTGTCACTAGGTGTAGTTGTGAGTAAAACCCCAAATTGGAAAAGCTCGATCTATTCATGATTTGGAACATTTTCGCTTCGACAAATTTAATATTTTGACAAGTTTACAAGTGTACAAATTTCAAATGGTTGTGCCGACGAAATTGCGATGTAGATTATGCAAATTCATGCATCAGTATTGATTTATTTTGGACATTTTTTTCTCTTCTGAAGATGCTATCCACGCCCCAGGATCTTAAACGAATGGACTGGGGCTGGGCTGTTATTATGGACGTATATCACAGATGTTTACGGTTTATCGATCTGTTTACATCATGGTTGCTATTGGTTTTGCCATGATCGGGATTCACGGCCGGGTCAGCGTAAAATTAGTGTCACAAAACATGCGGTCCTATGGGGGTCCTATGGGGGTCCTATGGGGGGGTGCTACATTTCTGTTATGTCGGGGGGGGGATCTTGAACAACTCTATCATTAGTCACGTCCGTATACTGTTAATGCTGGTGGTTGGATACAGAATTGTTGTTCTAAATGTTCTAAAGAGGATCTACTTTGCGGTTTTCTATTGATGGAATAAATTAAAGGCTGCTCAGAGAATTGTTGAGGACCGCTGCTACCGCTTAGGGACCCTATTTAATTAACTAATCTTAATTTAAAGCCACAGTAAGTAACTTTTCTGCCAATAAAATAGACTACGATAGTAAATAGACTAAGGTTTTTTCATTTTGGTTGTGTTTATTGCACTGAAAAGCTTGCCTCCTTACAGTAAGTAGGCTCGCCTCTCCACAAACCTGACTATTTGGTCTCGAGGAGGGCCACCACCTTACTTTCGTCATGTTCCGAAGTATGGTTTTAAATGGTACATGGGCAAGTTTTTATACTGTGCTTTTCCGCTTTAAACAGTGTACACAGACACTTGGGGCAAGGTGGGCTAAGTGTCGTGCCCAAGGACACAACAACAATATCCGTCCGTGGGAGCTGGAATCACACTGCCAACTCTTTTAATCAGCTGTAATTATAGTTAACAAGGCGGCTACACAGAGCGGTCGCCAACTCTAACCCGAAGATCGGCAATCCAATCGTGAAGTTGTCAATACCTCATTGTTATGGAGTCCTTGAGCAAGACACTTCATTTACCCCGCCTGCATTCATGTGTGTAATTAAAAATGTTCCAGTGCCAAATTTTAGACCCATACATTGTCTTAAATATGTTTTGAAAAGGGCATATTACACTATTCTGATCCATGTTATGATCAAAGAACTGTAATTAAGTAAATGTATCTTTACTTTGCTTAATTCCTACACAAGTAAAAGTAAAAGTAACCATGTAAAAATCTACTCAAGTAAAAGTTTAAAAAATACTTCATTTAAAATCTAATTTGAGAAAAAGTTAGTTGGTTACTTTCAATTATTTTATGTAAAAAAGGATGAGTCATAAATCTAATCCCGCACAAGTTGTTTTTTAACTTTTAGGTGATTCAGTGCAAACTTTGTTCAGTACAAACTTTGTACGTTTTAAAGACAACTGAGCTCACTAACACTTACAACAATGAGCTCTTCCTTCTTTTTATAGAACTTAGAAGGTGGACAGCTCTGTCTGACGGGGCAGGCACATTTTGCTTTGAATTATTATTTTATTCCCTATTCTGCATTGTGAAAATGCCACATGTGCAAGCCCGCACAATTTCCTTTCATTTACAGCAAATTGGGGGTTATTTTGCATTTCATTTTTTTTTTCTTTATCAGTCTGATTTTACTCAGTAACAAGGGTGGGTCCC